ATACTTTGAACCGCGTATTTGAGGAATGCAAGACAGCAACACGCAAACGTCGCCGTCGCTTCAGAGTGTCCGACATCATATTGGAATTGGGCAACAATAGCGACCATTCTGGAAGAAGCGTGTGTAAAAAGCATATGGCAGCATCAACAGATGTGGCAATACGCAGCGCTGGTAGAAAGCGCGCTTTCGATGAGAGCAGGCTACAGCCAGGTGTAGCACCAGGGCCACCGCATGCGACAAGGATGGGTAATTGCATTGGGCGTTGCTGCGGGCGGGCGCGTTTGGCGGAGCGAAGTCGGAGATGGGCGAAGCGAGCTGCACCGCTGCACGAAATATCACATCCGAGTTGGGGTACTCATGCCCGTCATTGTGCAGCACTGCGAGCTTCCGTGCATTAGGATGAGGATGCGAACGCGGATTTGGGAGCAGGAGGAGGAAGAAGAGGAGAAGCCGTTGTCACATCTTTGCTGAATTGTCTAGGCCAACCTGGAAAAAGGAGTCACAGCTCAGGCTAGGTGAAGCAAGGCTCGTCGAGAAGACTGCGTAAACGCACGAAGCAATGTCTCAGTGCACCTGTCCGGGGCAATGCTGGAGAAAACATACACGTTTCAAGCTTCAAGGTTTTTGATGTGAGTCGGCCGAGTCGCCTGGGCGGCAGCACGGGCCGACGACGAGAAGGGGAGAGGTCTGGCCAGCCTCAGGCTCCCGCGCCAGCGCCCAGGGCATCCCGCTGGGGAGATCCGCTCCCGGAGGAGCGCCTGGCAGTCGATTTCTATTTCCCCAGATTTTCCTCACACTCCTCTGTTGTTTCACGTTGTGCATCTTGTTATGCCCTGTGCGAACGGCGTGTGTGGCCATCTGATCATCCTGGGCGTTTCTTCTCTTCTGGGGGCACCATCTCCGCAGTGCTGATGCTCGTCCACGCCTCACAAGACTGAATGCGCTCCCGTGTACGCTCTTCTCCGCACGCTGCGTTGACTCTTTCAGATAAGCTTGGAATATGCCTGTGCCAAGGTCCTTACAGCAGCTCGCTTCGACGCGGCGGCGACCCCAGCCCAGCCGTTAAAGGTTGAACGCAACCAATGGCCCGGAATCGGCCGGCATCGAAGGATCCGCTCTAATGGAAAAGCCGCTATCGGTCAAGGCCGAGCGCTTCACGCGGTGTCAGAATCCGATGGCGACGACAACGCAGCGACGTCAGCTTGCCGCAGTCTAAGCATGCGGCATGCTAGGACGCAGGCATTGCCGCGCCGGCCGCTTCGGAGTCGAGGCCGGCCAGGTCGAGGTGGGGCGAGCCTGTCGCGGATCAGAAGGAGGACGCGGGGCGGGGAAGCGCGTCTTCTTGGATGTGTCGTCCAGGGCGAATTTGCTCTGACCTGGGCTTGGGGCACTTCAACAACGGCCTCGCATCTTCCATTGTGTTCCTTTGTGGCTCGCAGGATCCTTCGAACAAGTTATTAATCGCTTCGCTCATTCCGCCGGCCCGTATTGTGCCATCGCAGGCGTTTGCTTGCGCGTTCGTGGCCTCTTGGAGCCTCGGTGGGGCCGTTTGGGGCCTCTTGGCGCCTCTTTTTAGGCCTCTTGGAGGACTCGGGAGGCCTCCAGGGGGCCTCCTGAGCTCTCGTGACGGTCTCTTGGGGGGCTTTCGGCGGGCTCTTGGCGGTATTTGTTGGTCCTCTTGGGGCCTGGGGCCTGACGTTGTTGGTCCTCTTGGGGCCTCACGGGAGCTTATTGGGGCGTCTTGGGGGTGTCTTGGAGAGTCTCTTGGGGCCTCTTTCGGGGTCCTGGGCGCCTTCTGGGGCGGAGGGCTCGATTTTTCAGTTCTCGGTTCCCTTCTTGAGCCCCTCTTGGGCCCGTCTTGGGGCCTCTTGGTCCGCCTTGGGCAGCACTTGGGCCGTCTGGGGGGCGCTCTTGGGCCGCTCCGGGGCCGTCTTGGGAGCCTCGTGGGCCGTCTTGGAGCAGTCTTGAAGGCCTCTTGGGCCCTCTTGGAGCGTCCGGAAGCGAAAAGGCCAGAACGCAAAAAAACATAGAAAAAACAAATGAAAATCAACGATGTTGGCAACTTGGGGCCCTCTTCGGGGGCCTCTTGGAAGGCCCTTGGAGCGTCTTGGAGGCCTCTTGGGCTGTCTTGGGGCCATCTGGGGCGTCTTCGGGCGATCTTTGGCCGTCTCGGGCCTCTCTTGGACCGTCTAGAAAGCTTCAGGCCCTCTTGGACCGATCTGGAGCCCTCTTGGACTCCGAAACAGAACTCCGGCATCTCTGGCCCGACCTTGCCGGGACCTTGCCGAGGACTTGCCGGGGACTTGCCGGGACCTTGCCGGGGTACTTTTCGTCCGGGTTCCCCCAGGGGCCGCCCCGCGCGCGCGAACTAGAAATACTGTTAACCAGGTACCGGAGATCTTAGCACGCCCTGGCCCGTTGGGCCGGCGAATTACGCCGCTGAAGCCGCAGTTTCAAGTCAGAATGCCAGCAGACACGTTGTCACAGCAGAGATGTCGCAGGCATGTTTGGTCATTGATAGAGCAGCGAGCGTGGAGACATAAGTGCGTCTACAGACTTGTGTCGAGGAGGGAGAAACTCCAAAAACGGCGTCGCCCTCGCAAGATCGAGAGGCCGCCTTCTCCTCCTCGCCGGAGGCCGGCAGAAGTGAGCGGTGCGCCCCCCAGAGATGGGCAAGGCCCCTGGGTGCAGGGATTCCTGACGGGGCTCTCCGCTTCCGTTCCCTTGAGGCTGCTCTCCTCCCCCTCCTGCTCCGCCGCTTCTCGAGCACGGGCGCTGCTGGCGCACCCGTGTCCCGCCGGTGCCATCAGCGTCGGGCCGTGTCCGGCGCCGCAGGCCAAGATCGGAGTCGCGCGATGGCAGTTCTCTGGGTCAGGGGATCGTTCGCAAAAGGGTGCTCGCGGACTGCCCCAACTCAGGGTGTTCAAGGGCGTCGCGTTGCGATGTGCAGTCCTGCTTTTCCCACACGCGCCGCATGCTTACACGGTGTTGCTCTCTGCGCGTGTCGGCCTGGTCGCTCCCAGGCGCTCCCAGGCGCTCCCGGCACGCTCCCAAGCGCCCCCAGGCGCTCCCGGCACGCCCCCACGCGCTCCCAAGCGCTCCCACGTGTTCCTAGGCGCTCCCAGGCGCTAAGTGAAAGCACTTCCCTCCTAAAAGTTGAAGCCGTTGCCGAATTCGTGTGCCAGAGGTGGGTAGAACCAACCACTGCCAGGAGTCACCATGCTCATTCGGAGGGCACCAACTATACACCAACACCGATCCTGGCCCAGGATCACCCTGGGCCCATGATCGGTGTATATGCCTTCTTGCCCAAGGCAGGAGGGCGTATACACCGATGGCCAGGATCGGTGTTGGTGTATAGTTGGTGCCTTCCTACTCATGTTCCGCAGCCATTTTGGCTCGAGGGCCTGCGCCAGGCCGCGGGCCCGCGGGCCGTCGGCGAGGTACCCCCGCCGACAGCGCGGCGCCCGGCCGCGCCTCTCGCAGGTGGTCCGTGGCGGCCGGGGCGGCGGCCGCTCGCCGCGGACCCCGCCGGGAGGCCGCGGTGCGGAGGCGGGGCCCTCCTCCTCCTCCTCCTCCTCCTCCTCCTCCTCCTCCTCCTCCTCCTCCTCCTCCTCCTCCTCCTCCCTCTCCTCCTCCTCCTCCTCCTCCTCCTCCTCCTCCTCCCTCTCCTCCGCCGAGAGGCCGCGGTGCGGAGGCGGGGCCGCGATGGCGCAGGCACGGATGGACAGATCAGCTACGGGCAGTGGTCGCGTGCATCTTCCCTGCGAGGACCTCCTCAAGAGAGATGACGGTCAGGCGCGCCACCTCTGGGAGTGCGACACCCGCAGCAGCCAGGGCGGCCTGAACTGCGAGAGGCCGGTCTGGGTCCGTGCAGATAGCACGTCCGTCGGCACCCCGCAGACTTGGCTCAGCGAGCGTTGGTGGGATCTGGCGTCTCCAGAGGCAGGTGCCCCGAAGGAGAACGTGCCTCTCGAGGCCCTGGCGATACTGGCCAGGACTGGCGCTGCTCCTGGCTGGGTGCAGCCGAGCTGCAGGCAGGGTGGTCCCCAGTCTTGGCGGCGGCGAATGTACCGTAGCCCCTGCGAGGCAGCGGCGCCTCCCCGCGTGCGCACGGCCGCGGAGGCCGCTGGGTCTGGGCAGGTGATCCTCTGTGGTCCTCTGCAGCGGCGTGTATTGGGATTTTGTTGGTGCTGGCGGTGGTGCGTGCTCGAGCCAGCCGCCCTACACGTCTACAGGAGCGAGGCCCGCAGGAGGGAGGCGCCGGGCCAGCCGCTCGAGAGCATCGAGGTCGGCCGCATCTTCGCGTCGCCGGAGGGCGGCGCTGGCTTCCAGCACACCTTTCGGTGTGCGGACCGTACCACGTTGCGTTCGCTGGCAGCTTTCCGAGCCGGTGTGGGCGACATCTGGGAAGAGATTGCCGCGGCCCGCCTCTGGGTGGACCTGCTCAACACGGCCGCCCGGATAGCGTGCAACCCCCAGGCGGAGCCGAGCACGACGAAGATCTCGGGGATCCTCTGGCACGAGGCCATCCTCGGGGCTTGAGGCAGCCTCTGGGCCGGAGCGCAAGCCGCAAGAGTGGCCCCTGGGCCAGCGCGTTTGCCGCGGGTCAGCCTTGGAGGAGGAGGAGGAGAGAGGGGTTCAGCGAGAAGTGATGATGGCGAGTTGCAGGTATGAGAGGCTCGCGTGCCTTGAATCGCCAGCCAATCCTTTCTGGAAGGCTCGGCCACGGCAAGCGTCAGAGACAGTCATCGTAGTTGTGGCTCATCTGTTTGGAGATTTATTTTCCGACATCTTGAATGTGTTTCAAGGTGTGATGCAGTGGTTGAATACCAATTTACCGATCCAGGTGATTTTCAAGCTTAATTTTCATTCAGATGTCCCGCGTTCATGCGGGCTCGAAGCTTAACTCTGACCGTACATCGTTTAAGCTCCGTGTTCGTCCAGCACGGCCCCGTCTCAGGAGACTCGCGCAATTCTGTAGAACCGAGTAGAGGAGGATGTGTGTGGCATGCCAGAGCGCCAGCGAGGGGCAAGCAGGGTGTGCACTCGTGCTCTTCCGAGACGATCCTGCGGTGAACGCAGACGGCCAAGTTTCACACCTAGCAGGCAGAATTAGTTGCGATTCGATCGCGAATGCCTTGCCGTTGCACGGGGCAGGTTGCGATAGGTGGGGCGAGGCACTGGAGGACGAGGAGGCGGAGGAAGGATTGGTCCAGAGGGCGGCGGGATACGACTGGAGATCCCAACGTCGTTGGCTGCGCTTGGGCGCGCGCGGCGACGACTCCACGATTGGCAAATGCCCCAGACGACTCCGCGTGCGCAGGTATTTTTAAGGCGCTTGGCGCCGGACGACTGCGCCGTTAAGGCGCGTCCAATGTCGGCCTGAGTGGAGCTCGGGTCGGTTTGGGCGTACGCGCGTCGTGCGCGTCACCCGTGTCGTGCCTGCTTGCGACGGGAGCCGCTGCTTACTTTCGGCGACTCTGTGAACTATGGAACCCGCCGTTCACTCCCTCTTCACAGGCTTTGGATGCGTCTCGCTCGACCAGGTGACTTTTTGATTTGCTTGGACGAACGCGTGCAGCTACCTTGTGCGATTATAATCCTAGGTCCAGCTCGTATTTCGGTGGTTCTGGAGCACGCCATTGTTTCCGATCTCAGTCACCATTGTCTGTTAATCTCGGTGGGATGGTGCGCTGGATTGGCCCGTTTTGGGTGTGCGCAGGGTCCCTGGCTGCCTGATCAGGTGTTTTCGTTCCCCTGCTCTTGCCTTCTGTTGAAGTACGATCTAAGTCCACAGGAGGCTGTGTCTCCTGCGCAGAACGCTGGCAGGCACCAGCGGCGCAACACCTGTTTGGTGAAGTGCCCCGTTCAGTAGACCGTGATCCTGGCTCGCGCGCTCGTTTTTCAATATGCCGCTCTTCTGAGACGAGCATGAAGCAATTCTAGACGCTTCGCGTATCCCCACCAGCCCGTCCAGAAACGACGCCCAGGCGAGTAGAGGGTCGTCCTGAGGGGCGTTTCGGCGTCTTGGGTGCCTCGGGGGGGCCTCTGTGGGCCGTTCAGGATCCTCTTTGGGGCCTCCTGGGGGCCTCTTGGGGCCTCTTGGGGCCATCTTGGGGCCTTTGGGGGCCTCCTGGGCGCTTCTTGGGGCCATCTTTGCCCCCTCAGGAGGGCAACATAGAGCCAAAATCTCAGTAAAATCAATGATTTTGGCTTCCTCGCCGAGGCCGTTTTGGACGCTCTGACCGCTCGCGCCCCCCCCCCCCGTCCAGGTCCACGGGGAGGGGGTAGGGGGAGGGGTAAACCCCTCCCCTAAGGGAAAGAGGGAGGGGTGGAAGAGGAAACGCCTTAAGCCACCGACGCCCAGAGGGCTGGTGGGATTGCCTCGATCAGGGAAGTGGACAGCACACAGAGGAAGCCAGTATGAGACATCTTGGGATTTCTTGAGCCATCTTGGAGGTCATTTTGGGCTCTCCGAGGCGCTCTTGGAGTCATCTTAATCAGTGCCCCCCCCCCCAAGAGGCCAACATGTGGCTAAAACCTTAGTGCAAACAATGGTTTGACATTATCGCCGAGGCCTCTGTGCCTCTGGGGGGTCTCTTGGGGCCTCTTGGGGGTCTCTTGGGGGCCTCCTGGGGGCCTCTCGGGGGGCCTCTTGGGGCCATTTTGGGGCCATCCTGCGGCCTCTTGGGGCATCCTGGGGGCCTCTTGCGGCCATCGTGGGGGAAATCGATCAAAGAAGAGGGGAGCTCTAATTAGCGCTGCCCCCTCAGAAGGCCAAAATGGGGCCGAAACCATAGTAAACTCAATGATTTTGGCTTCCTCGCCGAGGCCGTGTTGGACCCCTGACCGCTCCCCGCCCCTCCTGTCCAGGTCAGTGGGGAGGGGGTAGGGGCAGGGGTAAACCCCTCCCCGAAGGGGAAGAGGGATGGGTGGAAGAGGAAACGCCCTAAACCACCGACGCCCAGAGGGCTGGTGGGATTGCACCAGCGTTGCGCCAACTCTGTGCTTTGGAGACTCGCTGTCAACGTCTCTGAATTGGGCCGCAATGCTTGAGTTGAAAAAGTCACCATGTTCATCTCCTCCAAGGGCTTTGTGGCCGCGCTAGTGTGGTAGCGGTGACAGGCCCTCAGCTCACACAGTTCTGTTGCGAGCAATCCACGGCCGATGCGTCAACCCTCAAAGCTACTTGGCTTCGGGCTGGGATGGACGCGACGCAGCTCTCTTACAATTCTGTCCAGCCATCGCAGCCCGACCAATGAAGAGAAATGGAAGAGGCCCCTGGAAGTCCCTCGTGAAGCCCCCACGAAGCCTCCGAGAGGCAACCGAGAGGCATCCCAAGAGAACCAGAAGGGGCATCCAACAAGCCTCCAACCCACGACCAAGGTACAGTGGCGGGATACAGACGGAACGTCGGTGAGGGCATATTCTGTCGAGCATTGCCTTGCAACTACCCTGCCACTGTCTCTGCTCCAAGGTAGGTTCACACGATAGCTCAAGGGAAACGACCGCCTCTAACCACCTTCTTAGGCCCTCGCGAGTACGCAGGCAAGTGCCAGCGATGATACAGTATCGGCCAGTGGAATGAGCAAAGCGATCCGACGCTCAATCGGGCACGGCGTGTGAGATCCCCGCGTCGTGGTCTGCAAGGACTGTTGTTGCTGAGTCTTCTGACCGACGCACTTCTCGCATTGCGAAGGCCTTGCGGCCAGTGCCGCCGACCCTGAAGGGGGACGACGACGAAAACGACAACGGCGGCGGCGACGACGACGACACTGACGTGGGCCAGGGTCATCGGGGATGCTTCCTCTGGGGATGAATTCTGAGGCCTCTTGTGAGCATTTCGGGAGCCTCTTGGAAGACTCTTGGGGGCCTCTTCGGGCTTCCTGGGAACCTCTTGTGGGTCTCCTGGGCCTCTTGCGAACCTCTTGGGGCCTCCTTGGAGCCTCTCGGGCCTGAGGGCTCGAACTGTCCGTTCGGGTCCCCGTCTGAACACGCTCTTGGAGCCGCCTTGGGGGCCTCTTGGGTCGTCCTGGAGGCGTTTTGGGTTTTTGGATTTGTTTGAACTGTTTTGAAGCCCTCTTGGAGGCCTCTTGGGCAGTCTTGGGGCGATCTTGGGGGCCTCTTGGGCCGTCTTGGAGCGGCGGGAAGCGGAAAAGGCGAGAACACCCAAATCTTTTATTCTCTAGAACAAAAAAATTAAAGAGCATGAATGAATTTTGCCCGTTAGGGCCCTCTCGGGAGTGCTCTCGGAGGCTTCTTGGCGCGTCTAGGAGTCTTCCTGGGCAGTCTGGAGGGCGTGAAGGCGTTTTGGACCGCTCGTTTGGCGAATGTGGGCCCTCTTGGACTGTCTCGGGGGCCTCTTGGGGCACTCTTGGCCTGTCTTGGTACTTTCCGAGGCCCAGGACCCCAAGGGGGGGATGCGTATCTGACCCCCCCCCCCCCGGGACCCCCTGGTGACCCTCCCCCCCGACGGGGGAGGGATCAAAGGGAAGGGCTTCCTTTCGACTATTTCTCTCTCGCTGACGGGCTTGAGGAGGAGGGCGCAGGGACAGGGGACGACGGAGACGACGATTGACGGAGACGACGACTCGAACAGACACGCCCCTCACACACGCCGACAGCGCCGGCTGATTTTTTTTAGTCGAACCTAGGACAGAAGTACATCCTTCAAGAACATGAGACCCTCCGTCGGCCAAAACACAGAGCATCCAAGAGTACCCTCCCCAGGATACACAAGGACATCCAACAGACACGACGAACACCAGGGTACCCTACCTACCTCGATCTGACACCTCGGTCCGACGGTACTCCTTCCTCAGAGCCCTAGAAGCCCCAGCCCTAGAAGCCCCTCTTCTTGGCATCGCTCGGATATGTGCACGTTTCTTTGCGAGGGCCGCCGAGAAGCATATCGAATCATCTTGCGAGCAGGCACACACGGAGTCAAGACATGCACGGGGAATGGACGTCCGAGCGAGGGCCCCTCCTGGGGACCTCCCCGCGGCCTGCCCGCTTCCGCTGACCCGAGGGCGCCCTGGCTGCGTCGTGGGCCTCCGCCGCCCGCCCCTCTGCCCCCAGAAGTCCAGCACGTCCTCGCACCGGGGACTTCCAGACGCCTCAGGACACCACTCGGGGCCGCACGTGGACGACAAGGGCGAACCCTGCGGCGCAAGATGCCCCCCCCCCCGGACCCCCGGACTCGGTATGGAGGGTGCGGCAGTGGAGAGGGCACGGGTGGAGAGAAATACTCGAACCCCCACAACCACAACCCATGCTAAAATCAACACTGCTTTCGGGGGCGGGGTGGTGATGAACGTCCCCCTCAAGTGTGTGAGGGTTAGAATATGGTTGTCCATGTACTGGACCTCTCCGGAGGCCCTCCTGGGCTTTCGTGGGGCCCTATTGGGCCGTCCCGAAGCCTTCAGAAGGCCTTTTCAAAGCAGGTGGAGCCGAGAACCCGAAGAATCTTAAACCTTCAGAAGCCCAATGGATTTGACGGTGTTGGCCGTCTCGGGTGTTTATTTCCGCTTCTTGGAGGTCTCGTGGAGCTTCTCGTGACATTCTTGGGGCCGCGTCGGTCACCTTGGAGATATCTTGGAGACGTTTTGGGCCGTCCTCGAGGCATCGGACCTCGTGGACGCCCCTCTACGGGGTCAAAATTAATGTCACGACCTGTCTTGTTGTGGTTTCGCCATCCGCTTTCGACACTTTTGGATGCTCTTTCGAGCTGCTTTTGGGTCCCTTTTGGTTGTTGCACATTTCCTGTCCCTCTGGGGCCGTATTCGATACCTCTGCACGTGGCCTTCTCTTGCTTCCACCACGCCTCCCAAAGCTTGTTCATCCAATGTGGTTACTTTTGCATCAAGGTGTCTGTACCCTCAGGGGCGTTCAATCTGTCAATGTGGTCGTCGCCGAGTTGTTCGTAGTCATCGCCGTCGCCGTCGTCGTCCATGTCTTCGTGGTCGTCATCGCCCTATTTAGTTCCAATCCCCTAACAAGCCCCTCGCAATCACGTCAACGTCACCCTCCTCGCACCTCACGTGCATTCCTGCCCTTCCTCCTTGTCAACCTCCCCCTCTAGCTGCTGCGGGTCCTCCTCTCCTCCTCCTCCTCCTGCTCCTCCTCCTCCTCCTTCTGCTGCTCCTCCTCCTCCTCCTTCTCCTCCTCCTCCTCCTCTTCCTCCTCCTCCCCATCCGTAGCAGTTTTGGCTCAAGCGAGCAGGGTTGCAAGAGGCCCTCATGCGGCGCGCGCCCGACGGCGCTCGGGCGCGTGCTAGAGGTTGCGACAGATACGAAACGCTGGGCCGCGGCCAGTGCGCGGACATTGGCCGCCGTCTTCGCCGCGATCGACAGGCGGAACGAGGCTGGTCGCGCGCGGCCGCGCTGGATCGGCGTTGCAAGACGTTACGAGCTTCGTTGGCAGCGCACTGGCGTCTTTCTGATGCCGTAGGCCGCTTCCTCCCCACTCTCGGGGAGGAGTTGGCGGCAGGGCGGCCGCTGGGCTGCGAAGCCGCTCTCCTCGAGGAGGCTTCCGACGCGCTGGTCTTCGGCAACCCGGCGCGCCATCCACCCCTTCCCAGCGTGGTCAGCGGCCTTGCACGGTCGCGTGATGGCTACGACGCTCGTGCATTGGAGCGCCTGTTTTCTGGCGACGGCGTGCGGCGTCCATGCGAGGTGCCGTTCTTCTTGCTTTCGGCCTCCTCGGCGGACCACGAGGGCCAGGCAGCCGTGTTGCTGCAGGCGTCGGCGAGCGATTCGGACATCGTCGCCTCGGTCAAGGTGCAGATCGGCAGTTGTTCTTCGGTGGCAGATTGTTCTGGCGCGCGCCCTTCGCGTCGCAGCGGAGGTGCCGCCGTCGGGGACGCCGCTCATTTGTCGGGAGCGACCGACGTTCGGCCGTTCACGGCCGCGGGCATTTGCACCGACGCGGCGGGGGAGCCGCATGGTTCGAGCTTCTCCGATTTCCCCGAGCTCGGCGCCGCTGCCGAGCTGGAGGCTCGGGTGGACGAGCCCTTTGAGGAGCCTTTCGATGTCCCCGACCAGACCTTCCAGCAGGAGGAGCTGCAGGGTTCCAGCGACATGCACGATTCGGAGTGCAAGTCTGTCGAGCAGGCCTTCGACATGGAGGCCGAGTGCTGCGAGCCCAGGGTGTCCGAAAAGGGGGTGGACGAGGAGGGCTTCGCGGTTGAGTTCAACGGGAAGGAGTTCTCCTTTGAGGGCACGGGGAGTATCGACAAGGTCTCCGACGTCCAGATCCGCGTGGCGAACATCGTCATCGAGGCGGGGAGGCCCACGGCAAAGGTCTTCGGGGCCTTTCGAGGCGGATTGTGTCTGGTGTGCCCAGACTCGCGGCTTCGCTCTGGCGAGGCGCCGCCGCTTCGACGAGATGGATTCGGGATCTACGTCCACGAGTTTCGCGAGATCGGGGTTGGCCCCCGCGAGGCCAAGATGGAGAGCTTGGACTGCGAGGGCGCCACCCACAAGGCCTGCGTCCTGGAGCAGCTCCGCCTGCTCTCATGGCTCCGTGGGTGCCCTTTACAGCCCCCCGCCGTTCGGCGTGCCTCGGCCCAGCGCTCAATCGCTGGGGGCCGAGGGGGCGGGGGCCTTTCGGCCGCCGTCAGTTCAGCAGGGTTCAAGGTGTTCCTCAACCCCCCCCCGCCTCCTGGCGGCGCCGCGGCCCAGCGCTCAATCGCTGGTGCGCCGCAGGCCTCTGCGTATCCTCCCATAGTGTGGATATCAGCGACCTCCTCTTCCTCCTCCTCCTCCTCGGCCTCCTCATCCTCATTCTCAATATCCCCCCCCCCCTCTTCAACCACCCCCTCCCCACATCATCCTGCACCTCATCGTTCTCCTCCGCCTCTTCCGCCTCATCCCCTCATGCGGATCTTCCCTTGCCACTCCCCCATCTTCAACTCCCACCGCTGCTTCCACCTGCCCCTCATGAGCTTCCTCCGTCCTCCCAGCACTTCGTCTTCCCTGGCCTCCGCCGCCTCCCCTACGGGTTGTCCTCTGTGCCCTCCTCGGTTTCCGCTCGTGCGCGATCCTTGTGCTCCCTGACATTGTGTTCCCTGACAGAAGCGACCACTCCCAAAGAAAGTGGGGCGGCGGTGCCCGCCCCATCGGGGGTGTTCGATGGAATAAACACCTACGCGCGGGAGCTGGGAAATGACAATCCAGAAGGTTGCTGGCCGTTTGCTACGTCGTGGACACCCTAGAGTCAATCGGGAGGGCCGCTCAGATCGAATCCTGGGGGGCGGAACGGTGCAAGTCCCTTCTCTGGGGGGGGATACTCACGAGGGGGGGGGGCTTGAGTGATCTGGAGCTCCCCTGGGAAGGCGCTCGTGGTCGCGGAGACCCTTGTTGACTGATAGGGCATGGCTGAAAAGAGACGGTGACCGGTGTTTGGGTCGACCCAGGACCGCCCAAAGAGCTTGTAAGTGTTATCTGCTCCCAGCTTCTACGCTCGGAGCTCACCATAACCGATGCCATAGAGGTCAAAGGTTGAGCAACAGTTGCATACATTAGCGTGCGCACTGCTTTTTTGTTTTAAAGCAATGTCAGGCGTGCTGTTCCCCTACCAGGTTTATCCTACCCAGCACGCGCGTAGTTTGCGATGGTGTAATTTGTGTGTGTGATCCTTATGTATCATCAACGGCCATTCTAATATGTATGTATACATACGTGTACGTTCGTACTGGCCGACTCGCGCAAGTCCCGAAGCGCCGACAATTATTGCAGAGCTGGGGCTAAACTTACCCCAGCGAAGGACCCAACCACGTGCAGCTCCGAGTATCGCGAGGCAAGTGAGACAAAGGAGGGGGGGCACGTAAAGTGCGAGGGGTGTGCCGAAATTGAAGCGGCGGCGCCATGCGAACCCTCCCTCTGGGGCCTCCGGTGGAACTCCCTATGGGGCCACGAAGCGTGTGATGGGGTGTGCCGAAATTTGTGCGACGACGCCATGCGGAACCTCCCACTGAAGCCTTCGATGAAGCTCCCAATGGGGTCATGAAATGTGTGAGCGGTGTACCGAGATTGGGCGCGGCGGCGCCATGCGAAGCCTCCGACTGGCCTTCGGTGGAGTTCCCAATGTGGTCATGAAATATGTGAGGAATGTGTCGAAATTGGCGCGGCGGCGCCATGCGAACCCTCTCCCTCAGGCCTTCGGTGGAGTTACTGAGGGGGCCACGAAACGTGTGCTGGGTGTGCCGAAATGGGCGCGGCGGAGCCATGCGAACCCTCTCACTCAGGCCGTCGGTGGAGCTCTGCGGGAGGGGTGTGCCGAAATGTGCGCGGCGGCGCTATCCTGACCCTCCCACAGGGGCCTCCAGTCGAGCTCCATTTGAAGCCACGAAACGTATGAGGGGCGGGGCCTTCGGTGGAGCTCCCACTGGGGCCACGAATCGTGTAACGGGGTGTGCCGAAAGTGGCGTGGCGGCGCCATGCGAACCCTCCCACTGGGGCCTCCAGTGGACCTCCCTATGGGGCCGAAAATGCGAGAAATGTAAGCGGCGGAGCCAAAAATTGGAGCGAAATGGGAGCGGCGGAGCCATGCGAGTCCTCCCACTGCGGCCTTCGGTGGAGCTCCATCCGGGGCCACAAAACGTGTGCGGGTGTGTTCCGAAATGGGCGCGGAGGCGCCATGCGAACCCTCCCACTGGGGCCTCTGGTGGAACTCCCTATGGGGCCGCGAAACATGTGAGGGCTGTGCCGAAATTGGCGCGGCGGCGCCATGCGAACCCTCCCACTGGGGCCTCCGGTGGAACTCCCTATTGGGTCACGAGGCGTGTGAGGGGAGTGCCGAAGTTGGCGCGGCGGCGCCATGCGAACCCACCCAGTGGGGCTTCCAGTAGAGCTCCCCATGGAGAGGGGTGTGCCGAAATCGGTACGGGGGCGCCATGCCAACCCTCCCACAGGGGCCTTCAGCGGAGCTATGTGGGAGGGGTGAACCGAAAATGGGTGTGGCGGCGTAATGCGAACCCTCCCACTGGCGCCTCCGGTGGAGCTCCCTATGGGGCCACGACACGTGTGAGGGGTGTGTCGACATGGGTGCGGCGGCGGCATGGGAGGAGGAGGAGGAGGAGGAGGAGGAGGAGGAGAAGGAGGATGAATATGAGGATGAGGATGAGGATGAAGATGAGGATACGGATGATGACAATGCCGATGTCGATGACGATGGCGATGACGACGAGGAGAGAGGAGGAGGGATGAGGAAATCAGATTCAAACCGAGGACCCAACACCAAATAATGGTTGATAATGAAGCATACAGAGCGCATAGTGGTAAAGTTAGTGTGTGCAAAGTTGTACATTCTTTCGCGGCGAAGACCAGTCCTTTCAAGATACTCTTTGCGACCGTCAACCCGAGTGGGTTCAATCTCTTGTGAGAGTTCGACTGGCACGCGCAGAGGGAAGGATGCCGACCTGAACATCGCGTTCGAGATCGCCGCGATGCGCGCTGAGTCAATGGTCTTGGGAGGGTGTCGATAAGATGGGCACGCAGACAGGATGGGCCATCGCAGCATCCCTGCAGCGCTGGATGGGAAAATGATTGACGCTCTTCGTATCCCCGCAATCCCGTCCAGAAACGATGTTCAGATAGTTGTCGTGAGAAGGGCTGCGGATGAGAGCGTGAAGAGGGTAGTAACCAGTCAAAGCGAAGGCTGGAAAGCCCGAGCAGTGTCCGACGGTGGTCAAAGTTGGCAGGCCAAGTGGAGCCAGATGGGGCCACCTTGAAGGTGAGTTTCTTCCCGAGGGGGCAGAAGAGGTGCTGGGAAAGCCGATCCGCTGGACCATCTACGCTGGTGGCCCACCAGCAGTCTCATCCTGCGTCGTCCCTGGAGCGTTCGGCGCTGCCGATGTCGGTACAGCGTCACAGCCGCCCTGCGTCTCTCTCTCTCTCTCTCTGTCTCTCTTGTTGCGGCGGCGCGCCCGAGTGGGGAAGGCAGGGGAGACCCGCCTCCTCAGAGAGGGCGGCGGGGCCTCAGAGGAGGCCCGGAGAGCTTCTCAGAGGGCCGGAGGCCTTCCGAGCCCTCAGAGAAAGCCCGCCCCATCCGCCTTCCCCCCTGGGTGCGCCGCCGATCTTGATGCCTTCTGCAGTGTCGTGCCCAGGAGGGGTCACGTCAGACGAGCGCGAGAGGAGGGCCACCCCTGAGGGGGGAGCCGAGAAGCCAACGGTCGTGGGCTTCGGCACGTCGATCTTGACCCACGTCTTCGCCTGCGGCACGCACACGTGCATCGTGTAGTAGCCCTCGCGCAGCTGGGGGCTGGAGTCCCAGGAGCAGCCCGTGTCGATCTTGACCTCGTCGTCCCTCTTGTCCTTGGCGTCGTTGGGCTTGGCCAAACACCCGTCGAGCGCAAGAGGGGGACACCCGTTGGGCGCCTGCGGCAGGGGGTGCCCGTGAAGGCAGGTGCCGAAAAGGACGAGAAAGAGGAGGAGGAAGTGATTGAGTGTGAGATGGCCGGGGAGCAGCGGAAGGAAGAGTATCGGACGACGGCGAGGATGACGAGGAGAAGGACGGTAGTGGTGAGGAAGAGGAGGTCGAGTTGGGAGGCGAGTCCATGACAACAACGGCGAGGAGGAGGACAGGTGGAGAGGCCAAGCAGTAAGATGAGGAGGGCTGATGGGGGGCGAGCAGGAGGAGAGGGAGGAGAAGGAGGAGGAGGACGACGAGGGGGAAGATCAGGAGGAGGATAATCAGGAATGTCGGGAGGAAGAAGACGAAGTGGAGAAGGGATGAGGAGAGGAGGAGGTACGGGGCCGTTTCCACCGTTCGGTAGACAGAAGGTGGAATACATTGGAGGGCGCTCATGAAGTGGAAGATGGGATCAGCCTAAGCAACCCCAATGCTAGCAAGCATGGGAACCTTTCGGAGCCTCTTGGAGGCGTCTTGCAGCCATCGCGGGGCTCCGTTTTGTCCCTTTGGGACGTGTTGGAACCCTCTTGGGGATCTCCCGGGGATCTTTCGGGTAATGTTTCTATACGTACATCACGTTGGCCAGCGGTCACCAGAGCGGGGCTCAGCACCGGCAGAGGTCGCCATCGGGCGGACAGTCCCTTGGAACCAATAACTATACGGACGCAGGGTGCGCGACGCTCGCGAGGTGAGCCCATGCGTGCCAAGGGCGCTACGCGCACCAGCTGCACCAGGTGACGCAGGGACCCAAACCATGGCTCACTTCGATGCCGCCGATTCGATTCGATTCGATGTCGATGGATTCCGATTCCAATTCGATTAGATTTCGGATTCCGATGTGTGATCCGATTTCTCATTGGAGGCCTACTAGCCTGCCGATGTCTGCCGATTCGTCGATCCGATTCATGTCGATTGCCGATCCGACTTGTCGATTCGAGGCTGGGCTCTCCTGCCCCAACGCGCGCCAAGCGCGCCAGGCGCCGAAAGGAGCGTCAGGGCACGTGACAGACACATCGGGCGATACGTCGGCCCCCTCACCATCCCTTTCAAGCGTCAATGCAAAGTGGCGGCGGGGTGGTCAGAGTGGCAAGTGAGGTAATGCGCGCAACGCGCCAAGACAGCCCAAGGTCCCAAGAAGCCTCGAGAGGCCCCAAACAGATTGATGAGGCACCAAGACGACCCAAAACGAGACCCCAAGACAGCCTTCAGACAGCCCGAGAACGCACCCAACAGAGTCCAAAAAGCCTCTGAGACTTCAGGGTCCCAGATGGCTCCAAGAGAGCATCGGTGAAGCGAATTTGCACATACAGAGGCTCATCCCAGAGATCCTCTACAGGGTCACAAGTTCGGCCTTGAGTACCCAAAGAGCGCCCTCTTCGGGCCTTCCTGGGGCCACATCAAGCGATATGAGGCCATCTTGGGGGCTGTACTGGCCCGTTCTGTGGCGCGCGCGATGATGGGACTCTGCAGACCTGCGGGGGGGGGGAAGTCCAGCTCTTATAAGATGTGATGTACGCATCCGTACTCCGATCCGCCTCTTCCTCCTACTGCATGTCCTCCTCAACCTCATGCACTTTCTCCCACTTGCTCCGCTTACCAAGGGCCGCCACAAGGGTGAGAAGTGATTCGCGGAGTGCGGTTCGCGATTCCTCATGCTCATCTTCTTCGTCCTTCTTACCCCCTTCAGGGGGCGGCGGGAGAGCGCGGAGCTGTTCGCGGCGAAGCGCGAATCACGAACTCAGCTGCCAAAGACCGCCCCACCCACCAAACATCGCCCCACCCACCAAGCACCGCCCCACCAAACACCGCTCCACCAAGCAACCATCGCCCCGCCCATCAAACATCGTCTTGCACTACTTTCACCCGCGCGGTCCTCTTGGGGTTGCCACCCTCGATGCCGCCGCCTCCCGTGCGCGGGCTGGACGCAGGCAGAGTTCCGGGCGAAGCAGAAGCAGTTGGCCGAAGCGAAGGGCAAGGGCAAAGGAGGGGATCGGTTGCATTTGCGATTCGCACGTACCCTCTCGGCCGCAAAATTCGCTTCGTGCAGCTGCCGTCTACCCCTTGCTGATTTGCCCCCCTCAGGGAGACGCCCGTCCCAACAGCGAGCTCTGCATCACACCACTGCGCTTGATGTGTGCATGCAAGCACCAATTGTTCGTTCTGCCCTCTCTGGGCATTCCACGTGCTGCCTGAGAAGCCGCCAGACCAGCACGCGCTACCTCGAGGAACTTTGGCTTACCGTGTCGCTCCGCCGGCTCTGGCCCACCACGCGGCGGCGCAACACGTTCTCTATGTCCAAGTCCCCAGGCACCAGCGTCCCGAGTTTTTCTCAAGCTCCCGCCCCGCTGAGCGGGGCGACACGTTATCCGCTCGCAGGGCATGGCATGTCGGTGGGGCCGCCACCGGGACGCGCTAAGCAAAAGCTCGCAGCCGTATTATGTGTTGTTGTCGTTTCGAGCAGGTCGGTGCGAGCCAGAGGAATTTGCAGTTAAGCTGTATGTCGGTGAGCCTCGATAGCTGCGTTTGTTTTTACGAGCTCCTGTTTTGATCAGGCTGTGTAAGTTCTGGGCGAATGGCTCCATGGCTCTGTCGCATGCAGCGAGGCTCGAAGAGGATCCAACTGCAGAAAGCATGAACCTTTCGAGATCCGCACGGATGTGTTGGACCGGCAGTGGATCTTCGCGCGCCAGGGAGGAATGTCCAGGGCCGATCCAAGAACTACACGCGGACCTCCAAAAATTTGTTCATGCCGTTACTATTTTTCTGAAAACGGCACCCCCGCGATTCTGAGATCGACAGCGGTCGGGGTGGCGAGAGCGTGCGCGACACAGGGGCGATAGTTCTGGTGAGGCCCGTACTGCCTGACCGTAGCCATGCGAATCGCCCGTGGAAAGGGTCAAGTAAGTGAGTATATTCCAAGCTGACGAGGTGCGCGTTCTTTTTGGGCCAATGGCGATTTATCAGAGTGGTAGCCGTTGTCGTTGTCAGCTGTCATTGCGGTTGTGCTCTCTCCCCTGCCCCAAGCATGTCGAAGAGGCAATCACGGACCCGGCGCCCGTAGAGTTTATGCACATGCTGAGGGATGATTGGCACGTGCCGGTCGATGTTGCACCGGTCAAGCAGTAACGAAGCGTCCCGGCATCCCTATAGGCCTACCAAGCAATGTTTTTAGAACCTCTCGTGGTTTTGCAGAGCAGTGCGCGCGACGCGACGGTTGGCCTCGCCAGCCAGGGGGGGGGCATGCCAATGAGATTCGATGCAGCGTGTGGCTACGCTGCGGCGCCAAGAGTCTGTGTGTGTGTTCGCCGCGATAGAGACGCGCTTGCAAGCAATGGCGCGTTGGAGTCAACGTCGCGCAGTGTGGCGCAGGCCCCAATCCCCCTGCGCCGCCGCGAGCCCAGCCCAACGCTGGGCGCCCAAGACTGCCGCGTGACTTCCGAGCGAATCACCCGCGGGCTTTTTTGATTGCGAACCGCCCTCAGTGCACGTTTGCGATAGTCGGTCGCCCTTCGATTTCCAGCCCCTGGTCGCTAGTGATTATCCGTAAGGGCTTCGCCCCATGCCGCCGGCCCCCTGTCTCGGATAATGAGAGATGCAAAAGCTAAATCATGAGGTCTGGGCGGGACCTGGTTGTTTTTCGACCCTGACCCTACGGATCTGCGTCACGGGTGCCATCGAGTTTTAGAAATGTGGCAAATCCCTTGTGTTCTTGGACCCTGACCCCACGGATCTGCGTGAGGGGTGCCAGCGAATTTCAATGTGACAAATCCCATGTGTTTTTGTACCCTGACCCCGCCGATCTGCGTGAGGGGTGCCACCGAATTTCAGAAATGAGGCAAATCCAATGTGTTTTTGGACCCTGACCAAGCCGATCTGCGTGAGGGGTGTTAATTTTTACCCACCCCAGCAATTTAGAGCACACGCTCAGGGCGTGGTAAAAATACCCGTTTTGGGCCTCCCCCTTCGCGCGGTCCATCAACAAGGAACAGTAAGCAGCAAGAAGTCAACAAGGAACAGTAAGCAGCAAGAAGCAGAATTGTAACAGTGAAAATTGGAAGCTGCAACCGGCACAGGAAACTGCGAACCTTCGTCCTACAGCCTGGTGGCCCCACAAGGGGGCCTGCGGATTCTTCCTCCCGATCGCGCGTTTCGGACCATCGCAGTCGCTAGCGTTCTCGATCGTCTTTCGGTCCTGGCACTAGCCCCCAGAAGGCCCAACATGTTGTCAAACGTTGATCCTCTGGGGGGTTTCTCTGAGGCTTATGGAAGCAATTACTTGGGGTTCGTTCGAGCTCAATTGGGTTGTAGGGTTCACACTGAGACATCTTGGAGACTGTTGTCCAAGACTGCGAAGACATGACTTTGCCTGAAACGCGAACTTCGCTTGTTCCGAAAGCCGATAGATTGTGTACTCGAGCCCTTTGGGTATGCCATCAAGCGTTCGTATGTGCCCGCGCCATCGCGGGCTTGCCTGGACCTGCGCTCAAGCCTTCTTGGATCACAATGGGGCCAGATTGAAGCATCAGCGGCCCACTCGACGCGAATAGCCAACGAGGCGAGAAGCAAACGAAACATGTTCGGTCATTGAATGAGATTTGTATGTTGGGGGACTCACTGGGGGACGCCTGGTGGACAAAAACCCGACGCATCGCGCATCCCCACCAGTTCATCCACAGGTGATCCCCATACGAGTTGCTTTCGCCAGGCAATCGTAGCAGCTTGCCCACCCCAGCACTGGAAGGCACATGAGTCCGTGGATGCGTCGATCGACGGAGAAGGAGGAAACATGAACACAAGGAGGAGGGAGGCCGAGGAGGAGGAGAAAAATTCGGTGGAGGAGGAATGCGAGCAGAAGGACAAGGAATATGACGGAACACGTTCCCTGTCAATTCTTGGTGAACCCCAGGTCGGACCAGAAGGACGAGCAATCGGAGGAAAGGGGAGGAAGAGGCCAGGGAAGAAGAGGAGGAGGAAGAGGAGGAAGAGGAGGAAGAGGAGGAGGAGGTGGAATGAGGAGTAAAAGGAAGAGGCTGAGATGGAGGATGAAGAGGAGGAGTATCGTGGAGGAAAAATGCGACGACGGCGGCGACGACGACAACAATAACAGGAATCAGCCACACGGGCCTTCGCGGATCTCTCCCTGTGGGGGCTTCGTCGAAGCTTTTTGCAGCCATTTTGGGGCCCTCTTGTAGCCATTTGGCGGTCTTGGGGGCCGCCTTGGGGGTATCCGGCGGAGCCCTCTTGAGGACCATGGGGGCCTTTTAGGAGCAATCTTGGACGGCATCGGCCGACCAACAAAAAGACTCGGTTGCAGTCCCCCCGTTGGAGCCTTCAAAATCGCCTACTAGGGCTTCCGGGATGTGTTTTTGGAGCTTGGTTGAGCGTTCTTGGGGCTGTCTTGGAGCCACACCATGGGCGTTTCTTGGAGGTCTTCGGGGCCATCGTGGAGCTCCAAAAGCTCATCGGAAGCGAAACGGCGAGAAGGCAAACCAACATTGAAAACAGCGGTATGTGTTGAAGGATTTGGGGCTCCCGGGGTCGCCCTCAGGAGGTTCAGTGCCCATTCGGAGTCGTCTCATGATGGTCATAGGGTTTTGCTGGAGGTATGGAAGAGAGATCGGGCTACCCTGCGCCATCTTGGGGGCATTATGGACCTATCTGAGGCCACGTTGGAGCAAGATTTGGCCGAAGAGAGCCCCAGATACCACGCGAAACCCTGGCCCAGAACCCGGGTGGGTTGGAATGTGGTAAACGCTTCCCCGAAGAGCAGGAAAGGGGTGGTTTTGCCGACATTGTCAGACCACCTCCGCCCAGAAGGTCGGTGGGACGAAACCGCACGCGCTGCGGCCGTGGGGCCTTTCAGATTCACGCTGGGCACCATCTCGAGCTTCCTGGGATCGCCACTCCTGCGCAACGTTGGAGCATACTTACGCTTTGGGGGGGGGACACGCTGGGACAGTGGGTGCGGTTTGCGAAGGGTGCGGTTTGCCTTCCGTCATATCTGCCCCTCCCGCCTCCGGGAAAGGGATGACACAGCGCGTGGTCATCGCCAAAGGCTCTGGGCTGGCACATGTCCGTCGAACGTGTCCGCAGGGCAAGAAGAACATGTCTAGAGCTTGACATGTGCTACAAGCACAGTTGGCTTTCTAAGAACATTTCTGTTGGCGTTAAGAACAGTCTGCTGTGTTATAAGAGCAGTTTCGTCTGGAACAGGTTTAAGATGTTAGGAACATTAAACTGATGTTCTAAGCCTGAGCCGTTCGCAGAGGCGCGTGGGCCGTCTCCGCGCGGCCCCCCTTTGGGTGTAGGTGGTTTGAGGAGGTAGTTAGTCCAACCCTTGGCCTTCCCCTTCGGTAAGGGGTGTATCCCCCTCCCGTGGGTTCGGAGCCAGGGTTTCGCTAGATGTTCGAGGGTCTCTTTGGGCCCAAGATTGTTCAAACGTGGTCTCCGACAGTCTATTGGCCTCTGACATGGCGCACTGCGAGCCCACTATGGCTCTCGAGGTGGCTTCCAACGAGTATCCAATGGCCCCCACGATCGCCAGAAGACTGCTTCGAATTTTCATAGCGCCCCCCCCAGTACGCCACCAAGAGCCCCACATCTTTCAAGTGCGCTCTGTTTTTCACTCCCGTGTGCTTTCTCGCCGTTTCGCTTCCGATGGGTGTTCGAGTCTCCGATGGCCGGGATGCTGCTGGCGCGTGAAATGCGTCCAGTTGGATTGAGTGTGGTCACTATCGACACTTCTGGTGCGGCTTGCTAGCAGGCCACTGGCCTGCTGCTCCTCCGCTTCTTGTCCAAATTTGGAGCGAATCATCGTCGAGGGGGTGGGAAGGGGGGAGAATCAGATGTTGATCATGAGGACCTTCCACGGCCCGCCTAAGGGATCTCTTCGACACTAGCTCGACTTGAGCTCGGCAAAAGTTCGACTCACGTTCGTTTCAAATTCGACGCACGTCGACGGACCTTCGACGCAGTACGACGCATGAGTGGAGCGAGTGGCCCCAGGAAGGCCCCAGAACGAGCATCCGAGAAGATGGAGGGGAGATGAGGACGAGAGTGGGGACGGGGTGCGACGGCGCGAGGGAGAGCGCAGGTGGGCCGAGCTGCGGGCAGGCGGCCCGCGAGCCGCAGTCGGCGTGGTCACAGGCCGCGGCGCAAAGGGACACAGAAAGAGAGACAGACAGACAGACAGACCGACAGACCAACAGACAGACAGACAGACCCTGACATCCTCTCGCTGCGCAATAATGACGACGGAGTTGTCGTTGCCCACTCTCGGCCTCCATGGGCCCTCAGCGGGCCCTGGGACTGTCAACGCAAACGGCTCAGGATGACAAGCCGGTCCTGGGGAAGGGGTCCAGACCGCAGTCCATAAACACCAGTTCTTATCTCGGTCGGAAACTGTCAGGCGCCAGGTGAGCATGAGAAAAATGATGTCGGCCATTCGGCGGAAGGAAACCCAGGCAGACAGAGACAGAGACAGGGAGAGAGAAGGGCCTGGAGCCCGGGGTCTCCAGAATGGCGGCCCTGGACATTCATTTTTCACAGTGCGACGAGGAGGACGAGGAGGAGACCCTGCTCTTCGTAAGAGACAGCATCACGGCGGGCAGTTTTGGGCCATCTTCTACCCCTGAAGCCCTCGCTGGGGCCCCGGACCATCAGAGAACGACTCAGCATGGAGAAGCTGATCCTGGGGAATGGGTCGACACCTCTGGGGGTCCAGGTTGCAAAAAAAGCACGGTGTCGGGATCCGGCCTTATGCTGCAGTTCCGTGCAGTCGCGCGCAGTCCCCGTCCCTTCCCTTTGCGCTGTTTTTCCTTGCCCGTCCCTCCCCCCCCCTCCGTCCCATCCCTCTTCATTCGCCAAGCCCCAGGTCTTGACCCCTGCCCTGCCTCCACCGCGGCCCCCCCCACTCCACCTCACCTAGGCTACCCACCTGCTATCCTTGTGCGCCCTCTCTCTCTCTCTCTCTTTTTCCCTTTCTCATAAACCATCCCCCAATCCTCCTGCCCCCTTCCCGACAAGGCCCTCCACCGTTCCCTGTACCGCATGGGAGCGCACTCTTCCTTACAATCGCAGCGTCCTCGGTCGTGGAAAATTGCCACTTCGCCTCGTCGCTGGCCACACCCTTGGCTCGGCATGGTGCTCTCCCCTCGGCGCCCCACGCGTGCTGGCACGTGTGCTCCAACCGTATGTTTCCAGGGCGTCTGGGTACCTCACATCTTCCCCGTCGAACAGCTTCCGGCCGTTTGGGATTGCGCTCTCGCCTCGGCGTTGGCCACGCTCATGGCTCTCCAATCTTACCTCCCTGTCCCGCCGTGTCATACTCCTCCCTCGTCCTTTCCCTGTTCCTCCTTCGCTGGCTCCTCCTTGTCGCCATCTTGGCCATCTTGGCTCCGCCTGGATGGCAAAAACAAAGGGCGAGCGCGCTGGAAGGAATCGGCGGAAACATTTGTGCGTCAACTGCGATGCGCGCGCATCTTTCTCCCGTCTCCTCCCCCCTCTCCAGCACAGCTGGACAACCATCTTCCTCACTTGGTGGAGGTTCTACACAGGCTGGCAGCAGTGAGACGCGATTCATCAGTCGGCGAACGGTGGCAGCGGCTCAAAGCACAACGTGAAGTTGAGTGTTGCGCACAGGGGCACCACTCCAAGCCAGTCTGATGCCAGTCATGGCTGCCTGGAACTGCCGATACTTACATTTGCGAGGTGAGCGTCAGAAGGCGGTAAGCAGGTACTGCTCAGATGGAGGAAGTTGGCAAAAGTGCAGCAAGAGGTAGAAACGAGACGTAGCCCCCGAAAGAGAGCCTGACTCGGTGGCTGACGCTCTCTTGTTGGCGTTCCAGTGCAAAGAGGCACTCGAAGCGGCTCTACGGGCCGACCGACGTCGCAGCGGACCTCCCGTTGTCTGTGCAGCTCGTCTGAAGTGTTCGGCAGAACAAGAAGGGTTGTTCCTAGAGGCGGGTAGCAGCGACCTTCGCGTATCCACTTAGCCCAGAGCGGGTTTCGTAGGACGGACGCCATGAGAATCATCACGTTCAGGCTCGGGCAAGGGTGTTCCGACACGAGAGATAAGCACAGCACTACGTGGCAGAGAGCAGGCCCCCGCCTCGAATGCCGCCCCTCTGAGGGTCGCAGAACGGCAAGGGGAGCCGACAAGCCCTCCCTCGTGCTTGTACCCTCTCGTCGCCGGTCGGGTGTCTGGCGGCTCCGGGCCCTGGCCGCGTGGGGCTTTGCGCGGCGGGCCCAGATGAGATGCGGGAGGGGGCGATGGGCAGCCACGCTGCCCACTCGACCCGCTGCCAGTCTCACACATTGTGCTCCTTCTCTTCGTCTCTGCCGCGTTGGCCACGGAATGCACGGTTTACTCGAGGGGTGCTGCGGTAGTCCCTTTCCACGACTCCCCTCTGCTCAAAAGGCATCTTGACGAGGACCCAGCTATATGCAGCTGTGAGCACCGCAGCTGTGTGTATGGTCTTCGGTGGATTTCCCCATGGGGCCACGACACGCGTGAGGGGTGTGCCGACATGAGGGTGGGGGCATGCGGACCGTGTCCTTCGGGCATTCGGCGGGTGTCCGAAACGGGCGTGGCGCCCACATGCGAGCGTCGCCATCGGGGCCTCAGGTGAAGCTCCCTATGGTGCTACGAAACGCGTGAGGGGTCTGCCGAAGCGGACGTGACGCCCACATGCGAACGTTGCCATTGGGGCCGTCGTTGGAGCTCCTGATGGGCCCACGAACGCGAGAGGGGTGTGCCGAAGCGGGCGCGACGCCCACATACGAACGTCGCCACTGGGGCCTCAGGTGGATCTCCCCAATGGGGCCACGACACGCGTGAGGGGTGTGCCGAAACGGGCGTGACGTTCACATGCGAACGTCGCCATTTGGGCCTCAGGTGGAGCTCCCTATAAGACAACGAAACGCTTGAGGGGTGTGCCGAAGCGGGCGTGACGCCCACATGCGAACGACGCCACTGGGGCCTCAGGTGGAGCGCACTATGGTACCACGAAGCGCGTGAGGGGTGTGCCGAAGCGGGCGTGACGCCCACATGCGAACGTCGCTTCTGGGGCCTTCGGTTGGGCTCCCTATGGGCCCACGAATGCGCGAAGGGTGTGCCGAAGCGGGCGTGACGCCCACATGCGAATGTCGCCATTGGGGCCTTCGGCGGAGCTCCTGATGGGCCCACGAACGCGTGAGGAGCATGCCGAAGCGGGCGTTACGCCCACATGTTAACGTCGCCATTGGGGCCTTAGGTGGAGCTCCCTGTGGGGGCACGAAGCGCGTGAGGGGTGCCGAAACGGGCGTGACGCCCACATGCGAACGTCGCCATTGAGGCCTCAGGTAGAACTCCCTTTGGGGCCAGGACAAGTTTGAGGGGTGTGCCGAAGCGGGCGCGACGCCCTCATGCGAATGTCGCCATTGAGGTCTTCGGTGGAGCTCCCTATGGGAACACGAAACGTGTGAGGGGTGCACTGAGACGGGCGTGGCGTCCACATGCGAACGTCGCTTTTAGGGCCTCAGGTGGAGCTCCCCTCGGGGCCACGAAACGTCTGAGGCTCTGGTGAAACGGGAACGAATTCCACATGCGAGCGTCGCCATTGAGGCCTTAGGTGGAGCTCCCTGTGGGGGCACGAACGCGTGAGGGGTGTGCCGAAACGGGCGTGACGCCCATATGCGAACGTCGCCAGTGGGGCCTCAGGTGGAGCGCACCATGGTACCACGAAGCGCGTGAAGGGGGAGCCGAAGCGGGCGTGACGCCCACGTGCGACCGTCGCTTCTGGGGTCTTCGGTGGAACTCCCAATGGGTCTACGAAGCGCGTGAGGGGTGCGCCGACGTGGCTGGCATGCGGAGCGCAGAGGCAGGGGCGGGAGGAGGGAGGCGCAGGAGGAGGGCTGGAGGAAATGAGACCCGGGGCGCTGCCTTCCCAAAACGAGGACCCAACACCGCAGGATGGTAAGGAAAACATGTGTTCCTTATAACCTCTTTGGCATATCCTGGAATCCTGGAATGGTGGAGTCCTCTTCCCATCAGTTGGGAAGTTGGCAGTCTTCATCGTCGGGGTGTGATCCGTGTGTGTGTGGTCAGTCGTTGTTCACTGTGCTTCTCCGTCGTGTCAGCGCCGCGCCTCTCTTGTGGGACGCCCCCTTGGGCCGCGGCCAGTGCGCCCTCCCTCTCTCCCCGTCATCCTGGCCCGGATGGCATGTGCTGACTCCTCTGGGCCGGCACGTGCGGGCACCACCCTGGGTTGCCGCCGCCGGATTGACTTGCTTCGCCTCGCCGCTTCGCGCGAGGCCGCGACCGCCAAAAGTGTGTGTGTGTGTATATGTGTATGTGGGTGTGGTGTGTGGTGTGTGGTGTGTGGCGTGTGGCGTGTGGCGTGTGATGTGTGTGTGTGTGTCTGGTTGTGTGTGTGTGTCTGTGTCTGTGAATGTGTCTGCGTGTGTGTGTGTGTGTGTGTCTGTGTGTGTGTGTGTCTGTGTGTGTTTGTCTGTATGCGTGTGTGTGTGTGTGTGTGTGTGGGTGTGGTGTGTGTGTGTGGTGTGTGTGTGTGTTTGTGTGTGTGTGTGGGTGTGTGTGTGTGTGTGGGTGTGTGGGTGTGTGGGTGGTGGGTGGGTGGGTGGGTGGGTGGGTGGGTGGGTGGGTGGGGGGTTGGGTGGGGGGGGGGGGGTAGGTTGGTGGGCGGGTGGGTGGGTGGGTGGGTGGGTGTGGTTGTGTGTGTGAGTGCGTGTGGTTGTGTGCGTGTGTTTTTGTGAGTTTGTTTGTGTGTGCTTTTGTGGTGTGTTTGTGTGTCTGTGTGTCTGTGTGTTCTGTGTGTTGTGTACTTGTGTATGTGAGTTTGTGTATGTTTGTGTGTGTTTGTGTGTGTGTTTGTGTGCTGTTGTGTGCACTTGTGTGTGAGTTCGTGTGTGTGTGTGTTTGTCTGGTGTGTGGTTGTGTGTGTGGTTGTGTGGTTGTGCTTGTGTGGGTCTGTGTGGGTTCGTGATTGTGCATGTGTGTGTCGACCGCCTCGCGGAACAACGAGAAGAAACGTCTTTTCCATCCAGGACCCGCGCGGCGATTTGGACCGTACAGGCTGGCACTGAGCGTCCGTGCTCCCAGCTTGCACCTGGCTTCGAGCCGTGGCACGTATGCGGAGAGCGCGTCC